TGATTCCAATTTTCTCCTATAGATAAAAATGATACTAAAGTCACCTGAACATGGATACTTCCTTGATACCTGTGCTATGACATCAGTGAGCAGTGTTCATGTTACTGGGCCATCTCCATCCCTCCCATTGAGAGGAAAATGTATGTCAGGTAAAGAAGCACTTAAAATCCATCTCTGTCACTTGCTTAGTTTATTTTACCCTGCTCTGTAGTTACCAACTGCACTCTGTTGCTGCTAAAACCACCACTGGCCTCTAATATTCAGGACAGTTGAGTTTAGACAGCCTAGTTTCTCTACCAAGAAGACAATTCCATAGAGAGTAAGGGTAGAAGACCTAACTTACAGTTCTTTTTCAGGTTTTTCAGCCACCTTTGGTCTGGATGGGGACGATCATTTCCAACAGTCTCTAGCTGGTCTCCCGCAGTTTCCTGCCCAGTTCACCCTCTGCCTTGCAGGAGTGACTTAGGCTGTTATCCTGTAGGGTAAAGTCCAAACTCCTAGCCTGATAAACAGGGTCTTCCACGGACCTTCCAGCCTTCCACTCTTCCAGCCTTGCCACGCCCTTCACAGTCCCCTAACTGCCTCTTTCCATTTCCAGTCCTCTGGACCTTTACACATGCTGGTCTCTGCCTCCAACGCCTTTCTCTCCGTGCTCCCATGTGCCTAGTCAACGCCCTTCTCTCCGTGCTCCCATGTGTCAACGCCTGCTCTTCCTGAAAGACCCACTGGAGCACCACTTCCCACTGAAGGAATTTTTGTACCCCTTCTGTGGGTGTTGTACTGTGTAGACAGCTCTGTTCCAGCACGTATCCAGCACAGGGGCTGACCTCTCTTCATCTCTGCCTCCCCCTGCTTGGCCCAGTACCAGGCACACAGAAAGTGCTCCACAATGTTTGTGGACTGAAGGCTGAATGACCAGGTCACTGCTGCCCCACAGAGAGGCCTCTGAAGATAAAACAATGTGGAGAAATCATGTCGAGAATTCACTCATTCAAGAACAACTGTAGTGCACCTATATGTGCTATGGGAAATAGTTTTTTAAAGGGTACAAACCCAGTTCCCATTTCAAGAAGCACAGAGTTGCAAATAAAAGCTATATTCATTAAATAATCATACCAGGTGGTATGACCAAGTGTCAAGTAAGTTTCGACAATAAAAAATAACTGAGAAAGTCAGCCAGGCCTGGCTAGGACTCAATCCTAGGTCTGCCCCAGCCACTCTGGCTTTCTTATTGTTCCCCAAACTCTAACATCATGTCTTCTGTACTGTTTCCACTCATGACACTTCTGACACCAAATGTGTGGGGTTTTTTCCCACACCAACCAATGCTCACTCTCCAGACACTAACTGGGGGCCCTACGATTCAATTCAATTCCGACACCAACCATCTGGAGTTAGCACAGACCCCACAGGTAAGGGCTCAGGCCCACAAGAGTGCCCACACTTCACATGCCAGTCGCCGGGTCTGGGCCATCTGGACTCCTGACCAACTGTGAAGTCAGGAGTTTCCTACAACTGCCTCCTCAGGTTGGGTAATTTGCTAGAGCAGCTCGCAGAACTTAGGAAAGCATTTTATTTACTATCACCAGTTTATTATAAAAAATACAGCTAAGAAACCACCACATGGAAAAGATATGGCAAAATATGGGAATGGAGGTTTCCAGGAGCTTCTATGTCCTTTCCAGGCACCACCTTCCCAACACCTTGATGCGTTCACCAACAGGAAGCTCTCCAAAACCCACCATTTAGGATTTTTAAGAAAGCTCTATTTGTGATCCACTGTGCTGGTTAAAAAAAAAACGCCAGGCACAGTGGCTCACGCCTGTAATCCCAACACTTTGGGTGGGCGGATCACGAGGTCAAGAAATAGAGATCATCCTGGCCAACATGGTGAAATCCCGTCTCTACTAAAAATACAAAAATTAGCTGGGTGTGGTGGTGGGCGCCTATAAGCCCTGCTACTCAGGAAGCTGAGGCAGGAGAATCGCTTGCGCCCAGGAGGCATAGGTTGCAGTGAGCTGAGATCCCGCCACTGCACTCCAGCCTGGCAACAGAGACTACATCTCAAAATAAATAAATAAATAAAAATAAATAAAAATTTAAAGAAAGCTCTATTCTGCAGGCATGACTGATGAGATCATTGTCCACTGGTTACTGGCACAATCTCCAGAGGCTGGAGTACCGGGCTGAACACTCGAATCCCCTAATCACATGGTTGGTTCTTCTGGCAATCAGCCTCCATCCTGAAGCTATCTAGGGACCTATCAAGAGCCCTCTCATTAACAGAAACTCAGGTAGGGGTGAAAGAGATTTGTTATGAATAACAACAGATGCTCTTATCACCTTCCTTCAGGAAATTACACTGGTTTGAGAAGCTCTACGTCGGGATCAGGAACGTGGGACAAGACCAAGTATATATTTCTTCTTATCACACAACTGCCTTAGGACTCTCACACTAGATGGTTTCTGAACCTAGGATACTTCTCCGAAATCTGAATCATTCAAGGCTCTACTCAAATCCTACCTTCCCAGAGAAATCATTCCCTGACCACCTACTTAAAACCGCATCTTCCTCTCCACCCAAGTCATTCCCTTACTCTGCTTTTTTTTTTTTTTTTGGTAGACAGGATCTTGCTTTGTCACTCAGGCTGAAGTGCAGTGGTAGGATCACAGCTCACTGCAGCCTCAAACTCCTGGGCTCAAGCCATCCTCCTGCCTCAGCCTTCAGAGTAGTCAGTTCAACAGGCACACATCACTATGCCCAGCTTTTTTTTTTTTTTTTTTGGTAGAAACGAAGTCTTGATATGCTGCCCAGGTTGGTCTTGAACTCCTGCACCCAAACTGCTTTATTTTCTTCACAGTACTAACTAGTACCTGAAATAAAGCCACTGAAGGAAACCAAAACATTTCACCTCAAAATAGACTTATTTGAAATATTTTGAGATGGCCGTTCAGAGGGCCTACAGACAAAAGCAGTCCTACTGTGAGGGAGATGAGCATCTGTAGAGAATCTCCACTGATGCAGCCAGTTTTTCTCAGAGGGCCCTTCCTTGTCTGGATCTGGGTGAGATCAGCTGAGTTTGGCACCTTCAGGGTCTGAAACATTTCTTTTCCCTGAGGGCTGCTACCTGTGAGGTTTCATCTACATAAGACCACCTTTGCTAGCCAGGTCTCCTCTTCTCTCCCTCCTATAACCTGATTTACAAACACAACCTGTTTTTGGCCAAGCTTAGAGCCCCCACTCTTTCTGTAACCTCAAGATAGTATAAAAGTGGCAACCATCTTGCCTTCCTTTGAGATCGTATTTTGTAAGACTCTCACGGCATGTTAGTAAATGTGTATGCCTTCTCTCCTATTAATCTGCCATCTGTCAGTTGATTTTTCAGCGATGCTTCATGGGACACAGAAGAAGTTTTCCCTTAACTCCTACGCTATATATTTGTTTACGCCCTTTTTTTTCCTATCTCCGACTAGGATGTAAATTCATGAGGGCAAGGTCTTGGTGCTACCTAAATCCCCAGTGTCTAAAACGCCTGGCACATAACACTCAAAAAAAATTTGTTGAATAAATGTTGATAACAAGATATAATATCTACATCAAAGGGTTTTTGTAAGGATTAAACACAAGAGTGCACATAGAGGGATACGAGTGCCTAACGCAATGCCCAGCACACACACAGTAAGCTCAATAACGTTGGTCAACGCTATTATCAGAGGATTCCAGAAGACAGGTCAACATGGGCAGGAGCAGTTACAGAACGTTTCAAGGAGGTGGCAGGTCTTGAGCTCGATTTGGAAGGATCAGGATATTTTTCTCTAGATGGGGACATTGTAGGAAGTTGAAATCTCCGCTGCACAAGCCACCGCTCCCAATATTTCTTCATATCCCTATCAAATGCATAGTCATCATACCGTACAAACCACCTACCAACCAGCCTCTCTCTGTCCATCCACTAATCCATTAGTTTTCATTTCTGTATCACTGGAGCCTAGATGAATTCACTACTAAACGGCACCCAGCAATGTTGCTGAATTAGTTTCAGAAATCTGTGGAAAAGAAACAGCCTACTGTTCTGTCCAGCAATCCAGGCCTAAGTATCTATCCTAAAGAAACAGCGTCAGCATTAAAAATCATGTACAAAGACGTTCACTTCTAAGAGAGAGAGGGGAAAAAAGTAGCAAACAGAATGTCCACCACTAGGAAACCATGAATAAACTATGATGCGTTCAAACTGTGCAGAGGTTGCACTGAATTAGACAGCTAGTGAAACAATCTCTAAGATATATTGTTAAACTGAAAAAAGTTAGAGAATACACATACGGTGATCTCATTTAGGTAAAACAAAAATTTTAACACCTCACACAAACGAAACCTAAAGATTTCTCTTGAGTGTGTGCATATTACATATAGATACATGTATCAACTCTTCAACATTGTGCCTGAAACATAGTAAGTTCTCAATAAATATCTGCCAAATGAAGACATACGTACATGAATAGAAAAATACTGAAAAATAGATCTGCTTTTCGTGCAAAATATTTCTGTGCTGTTTGCATTTTTAAAAGATTGTTTTAATGTATTACTTGTACAATTAAAATGAACTTAAAACAGTTATAAAAGTTCCAGGGCCTCAATATACCATATCTGGTCCAAGCACCAGGCTCTGAGTAACTTCTCCAGGTAACTAACTTCATCGTTTTGAGCCATTAGGGCTCTGGCACAGCAACTCGACGCTCACTTTACCTCTCCAGCATCAGATTCCTTAAAAGCATAAAGATGCATTTTGAGGTGTGGGGTTTTCCTTCGTTCCCAAACACCAGTTGACCGCACGCTTTTTCTAAAGTGTCCTTTTCTCCCACGCCACGACGCCCCTGGAGCTGGGGGTCTGGCTCGGCCTTGCCTTCGCACCCCCTGGGGTCGAGTAAGCGTAGGACATGGGGAGGGAAGTCCTCCTGGTGGGAGTGAGCTCGCTGCGCGGGAGCGGGGTAACAAAACTCACTTTCCGACTGGCCCCCTCTCTGGCAGTGATCTGTCTCTCCTGCTCAGGCATCGTCCCGCGCGGACACCGAATTCTTCTCTGATCCGGCTCAGAGCCAAAGGTCACCTGGTCGGCAGAGGACAGTGTGGTGTTAAAATCCGGGGAGGGGAGGCGCGGAGCGCGAGGGCATCGGCGCGGCTCGGCTCTAATGCCAAGAGGGGTCCGGGAACCGCCCCTTAATTAGGGACCGGGGAAGCTGCAACCCTCGCCACACGGATGATTCAAAGTTGCGCGCCGCCGTCCTCCCGACCTGGGGGCGTGCGGATGAGAGCGCGAGGGGAGAGTGGGCCTCGAACCCTCGCCCACTCCCCAGGGGGCTGGGAGTGCCCGCCCTGGAACTGCCGACCCGCCGGTGCCTAAGTGTCCTCTGCCGTGCCGGCGCCGCAGGGCGGAGGCCCGTCCTCCTCCGCAGTCTCAGTCACCTCGCGCTAGTGCGCTCCGACACTGTACTGGGATCTCAGGCGTGTGCGGGAGCGGGAGGGCAGGTGACCGCCGCAAAGCCGGGCCGCAGACACAGCTCCCAGGGCTCACCCACCGTCTGTGGGGAAGGTGCCGGGTGGCGCCACGTCGGGTCCGCTCTGCGCTGCCCCCTCCTCGGACTCTGCGACTGACTGCTGGGCGCCGCGGGTCCCAAAGGAAGCAACCGCGGCGACAGTGAACTCCGCACCTGGAAAATCGATCCGCGGTGCGCAAAGGCCAGCCAATGGCCTCCAACGGGCGACGGGCTCTGGGCTGCCGAGGGGGGCGCAGGCGCCCAGGCGGGGGCTTCCAGTGGGGGAGAGGGGCAAGGGAAGGAGCGACGGCTGTCAATCACAGGCCACGCCCTCCTCAGCCCAACCCCCGCTGCTGTCCCGCCCAAGGGGGCGGGTGCCGTGTGCGCCAGGCCGAACACTAGTCTACGTCTCGGCATATTCTATTGGCTGGAAGGCCGTGGGAAGCGGCTACCAGCAACCAATTGTAACGCGCAATTGGCCCGTGAGGGCGGAGCGACCATGGCTCGCTTTCTCAGGAGCCAATAGAGAAGAGGAAAGTGAAGCGTTTCCTGAGTTCGGGGGTCGGCGGAAGATGGCGGACGGCGAAAGGAGCTGGTACCTGTGCAAGTTGTTGAGGTGAGGAGCCGGTCGTGGGGCTCACAGACGTTTTCTCTTCTGTAGTGGTACTTGCCCGTCCAGTGCGGCTAAATTTTGCGAGTAAATGGCCTTCCTTGTCATGAATCTAAGGTAATTTCTCAGGCCAATGAGCAGTCTTCCTTTTTCTTGGGGGTGTTCTATATAGACTGGAACAGACTAGGTCTTAAAAACTCAATTTACCGCGTTTTCTTCTGTTTCACTGTTGGCTGAGTGGTCGAGTTACCTTTCCTGCTTCAGCTTTTTCTTTCTCTTTCACACTCCAGTTAGTCTGTCATAAATTACTCATAGTCATTCCTCATTTTTCTTTACGATTGAGCTACGAGACATTTTCCAATCTATCATATCTCTCTTCAGTAAAGAAGAAACCGGATCTTCCTTCTCATCTCTTAGTTTCTCCTCTTAAACTCACCAAAACTGCCATTGTTAACACGTCACTTCAATATAAAGCTTATGTTGAATCCTCTGCTTTTTGATAATCTGTTATTTTAATTTTTATGATTGATGTAAGAAGTTGCATAAAATATTATTTTATTTGTATTACGTGTATACGCTGTTTCTTCTAGAAAAAGAATCTAGCAAATAGATGAGTAAAAGGAAAAACCCCCCGGAGTGCTACCATCCGGAGATAGCCACTGTTAACATTTTGGTGAAAAAACTCCCATACTTTTTTCCACCTTTGTTGTTGTAGTACTACTGAATTTTAAATGCCTTGCCCTCCACTAATAAAACAGAAGGCCTAGTATATTCTACCTACCTAGCTTTTTTTACCACCTACGTATTTTTGTTCAGGCTGAAAATTTATAATTAACACCATAATTAACACCATAGCTTTCTGAATAGCAGTATGTACCTAATTCTCTCAAAAGTTCAGGCACTTCTTCATTTTTGTCCCCTCTACTTCAAATTCTGTAATCATTACTTTAAACATTTTGAATGAGAAAGTCTATTATCAGAGCCTTTTGGTTCTTCCCTGCCATAGGGAATATTCCTCAGTGCTTTACATTATAATGGCTAAATAAACTCACTAACCAGACTTAAAGGACAGGTTTAACTTTAGTCATTATTCAGCTTTTAAGTTAAATGTTTAATAGTTCAGTTTGAAAAGCCTATCACATTAATTTTCCCACCTAAATTATTTGAAGGAATTGCCAGAAACGTCTTTTCATTATGGGGTAGCTGCATTTTAAATAAGCTTTTGAAAGCTTGTCCTGAGAAAACAAACTGTCCTCTGTAGTGTTGCTTTTATGAATTCATACATTCCAAATGTTAAATAAATGGTAAATCTTACCACTTTTGTCAGACTGTGTTCGTCCTTTAAGGCAGTGGTTCTCAAATTGTGTTCCATGAACCATGCAGGTCCCGAGGCCCTTCAATGGGTCCTCAACAAATCTGTTTTTGTAATAACATTAAGGTAATATTTGCCTATTTTACTGTGTTGAGAAGTGCAAAAGTGATAGCGGATAAAACTAAGTGATAGTGGATTTTAATTAACAGTGTGAAAAGGTCATTAATAGGATTTCAGAGTCTGCATTGCAACTGACATTAAGAAATTGCATAACTTGTCAAATGTGGCCTAGCATCAAAGAACAATATCTGTAACTAGGTGAAAAATTAAATATATTTTAAATGTAAGCTCAATATGTATTAAAATATACTCCCTTTTCCTACTACATATCTAAGTAAGCCTGAATTTTCTTCATATACTTCAACAAAAACAACTTATCACTACAGATTGAATGCAGAAACAGAAGAGAGGAGCCACTGTCTGGTTTCACGTCAAGCCAGACATTAAAAAGATTTGCAAAAAATGTAAATCATTGGCACCCTTCTTGCTAAATTTCTTTTTTTGCTTTGGAAAATATTGTTTTTTAATAAAAACATTCACTTAATGTGTTATGAAAGAATTTTTATTTTCAAATGAATTCATAAAAATTTTAAAGTTCTTTAGTTTTCATTTCTTATATGCTAAATATTGGTAGATATAAGCAGTGTAAACCACTGGTTCTCAATCGGGGTGATTTTTGCCCTTCACAAGGCATATGGCATTTGGCAATATCTGGAGGGTTTTTTTTTTTTAAATTACATTGTTTTAGAGATAGAGTCTTGCTCTGTTGCCCAGGCTGGAGTGCAGTGGCATGATCATAGCTTACTACAGCCTGGAACTCCTGGGCTCAAGCAATCCTCCCATCTCATTCTCCCAAAGTGTTGGGATTACAGGCATGAGCCACCATGCCCAACTGATAATTTTGATTGGGAGGGTGCTACTGGCATCTAGTGGGTCAAGACCAAAGATGCTACTAAATATAATACATAGTACAACCTCCCCAACAAAGAATTATTTAGTCCAAAATGTCAGTAGTGTCAAGGATGAGAAACTCTGATGTAAACAAAAGATTGGATCTTCAGTAAAATTTTTAAGGGTATAAAGGTGTGTAAAGACTATAAAGGCCAAATTATTTTAGACCAATTATTTTAGCTTTGAAATAAAGTGCTCGTGTGGGATTTCAAATAGAGTCAAATACCTCTTCAAGTACACAATAGGAAATCCCACATGAGATTTGTTCACAATAGGAACAAATGAGGATTTGTTCACAATAGGAAATCCCACATGAGAACTTCATTTCAAAACTAAATATCAATAAAATATTTACTTCCGGCCAGGTGCAGCAGCTCATGCCTATAATCTCAATGCTTTGGAAGGCCAAGGCAGGAGGATTACTTGAGGCCAAGAGTTTGAGACCAGCCTGGGCAACATAGAAAAACCCCATTTCTACAAAAAAAAAATTTTTAATTAGCTGGGTGTGGTAGCATGCACCTGTAGTCCCAGCTTCTCAGGAGCCTGAGGCAGGAGATCGCTTGAGCCAAGGAGTTTGGGGCTGCAGTGATTGCTATGATTGCACCACTGCACTCCAGCCTGGGTGACAGAGTGAGACCCTGTATCTAAAAAAAGCAAAATTTACTTTTCTGATGAATTTGTATATTTTCATGTGGGCAGTGAAAACTATGTGATACGGTTTGGCCATGACCCCACCCAAACCTCAAGTTGAATTTTATCTCCCAGAATTCCCATGTGTTGTGGGAGGGACCCAGGAGGAGGTAATTGAATCATGGGGGCCAGTCATTCCCGTGCTATTCTCGTGATAGTGAATAAGTCTCACGAGATCTGATGGGGTTTATCAAGGGTTTCTGCTTTTGCTTCTTTCTCATTTTTCTCTTGCTGCCACCATGTAAGAAGTGCCTTACACCTCCCGCTATGATTCTGAGGCCTCACAGCCATGTGGAACTGTAAGTCCAATTAAACCTATTTTTATTCCCAGTTTCGAGTATGTCTTTATCAGCAGCATGAAAACGAACTAATATAGTAAATTGGTACCAGTAGATTGGTGTGCTGCTGAAGAGATATCCGAAAATGTGGAAGCAACTTTGGAACTGGGCAACAGGCAGAGGCTGGAACAGTTTGGAGGGCTCAGAAGAAGAAGGAAAATGTGGGAAAGTTTGGAACTTCCTAGAGACTTGTTGAATGGCTTTGGACAAAATGCGGATAGTGATATGAACAGTGAAATCCAGGCTGAGGTGGTCTCAGATGGAGATGAAGAACTTGTTGGGAACTGGAGAAAGGTGACTCTTCTTATGTTTTAACAAAGGGATTGGAGGCATTTTGCCCGTGCCCTAGAGATTTGTGGAACTTTGAACTTGAAAGAGATGATTTAGGGTATCTGGTGTAAGAAATTTCTAAGCAGCAAAGCATTCAAGAAGTGACTTGGATGCTGTTAAAAAGCATTCCATTTTAATAGGGGAACAGAGCATAAAAGTTCAGAAAATTTGCAGCCTGACAATGCAGTAGAAAAGAAAGACCCATTTTTTGAGGAGAAATTCAAGTTGGCTGCGGAAATTTGCATAAGTAGCAAGGCGCCTAATGTTATTCCCCAAGACCATTGGGAAAAATGTCTCCAGGCCACGTCAGAGACCTTCACGGCAGCCTCTTCCATCGCAGGCCTGGAGGCCCAGGAGGGAAAAGTGGTTTTGTAGGCCGGGCCCAGGGTCCCTGTGCTGTGTGCAGCGTAAGGACTTGGTGCCCTGTGTTCCAGCTGCTCCAGTTATGGCTGAAAGGGGCCAACATAGAGCTAGTGCTGTGGCTTCAGAGGGTGAAAGCCCCAAGTCTTGGTAGCTTCACATGATGTTGAGCCTGCAAGTGCACAGAAGTCAAGAATTGAGGTTTGGGAACCTCTGCCTAGATTTCAGAAGATGTGTAGAAATGCCTGGATGCCCAGGCAAAAGCTTGCCACCAGGGCGGGGCCCTCATGGAGAACCCCTGCCAGGGTGGTGCAGAAGGGAAATGTGGGGTTGGAGCCCCCACGCAGAGTCCCTACTGGGACACTGCCTAGTGGAGCTGTAAGAAGAGGGCCACCATCCTCTAGACCCCAGAGTGGTAGATCCACCAACAGCTTGCACCGTGTGCCTGGAAAAGCCTCAGACACTCAACACCAGCCCATGAAAGCAGCCAGGAGGTTGGCTGTACCCTGCAAATCCACAGGGGCGGAGCTGCGCAAGACCATGGGAACCCAGCTCTTTCTTCACTCTTTCATCACCGTGACCTGGATGTGAGACCTGGAGTCAAAGAAGATCATTTTGGAGCTTTAAAAATTTGACTGCCCTGCTGGATTTCGGACTCGCGTGGGCCCTGTAA